ATCAATAATAAATGGAATATCTTTAGCTACAAAATCTCTTCCCTTTATGCCAATTTATATACACATATTCATATAAATTTCTATATATTTCTTAAAAATTCTATATTTATACACTCTTATTCACATGCATATTTAATAATACAATTTCCATTCAATATTCAATAATAAACCGTAATATCTTTAGCTACAGAAAATCTCTTCACTTTATGCTAATTTATATCCCATAAATTCTGTTGCCCAAAAGCCTGTTGAGCAATTTAACAAAGGAAAATCGCTCGCATTTGCATGGAATGTGCTGCGCAATGATGTCAATACCAATATGCCTTAGTTGATAGCTCCGCTACCCAGCGTGCCCCTTGTGGCAAGAACATTTCTTCATGCATGCAACGAAACAACAGCGTTAAATTCCACGGAGAGTCAAAAGTCAGGGCAAAGAAAAAATGGAACGTAAACCGAACCGAACAAGTGGAAAGCACAAAAAAAAATAAAATAAAAGAAGAGGAGTATTGAAGCAAGAAAAAAAAAGAAGAAAAACGATATATAATAATAAAGAAACTGAAACAGAAACTGAAACAAGCTCATAATTTAGCTCGGTAAAGTTTTGCGCCTTTTGTTCGGCTGCTTTCACTAGAAGTTATTGAAAATCGCGCAAGGGTTGCGCCCCGGCCGAAGCGTCGAAAGGGTTCGAAATTGAAAAAGAAAGCGCACGTCAGGTGGGGTGAAGTGGGTGGCCCGGCGAGGGCGCAGGATGGCGTCTCATTTATGCCGGGGTGTGGGTGATTTAGTGTTAAATAAAAACTTTTAAATTGCCATTTGATCGTTTGTTTAGCGACAATAATGTCGTCGTTGTCGTTGTCGTTGTCGTTGCCGTTGTCGTTGCCGTTGTCGTTGTCGTTGTCATCGCTGTGCAGCAGCGACCCAAAGGCCGTTGCGTCGCCGTTGCTCTTCAATTTTGAGGCAGTGACAGGTTTATAGGTCGGCTCACAGTTCGCCTGCAAGTCGGCTGCGCCGTGACAATGACATTGTTTCGCCTGACAGTTGTAGCAAATTTATTGAAAAGGTGTTCCTTCGTTTTCAGTGCTCTCCCTCTCTCTCTCTCTCTTGCACTCTATTTCTGTGTGTGCGCGCTTCCTTACAGAAATTGTCAAAAATTTATTGATATGTTGAAATTGCTCCCCCATAAACGAAAAGGAAACAAGTAAGAAGGCTCCAGTCGAGACTGCTCGACTAGGAGATACCCTGAACCCTCCAAACTGATATTCTAATCATTCTGGACTTCTTTTATGCACACATACATACACATGCACGTATAAGCACGCGCTTTGCAAACTGCGCAGCTAGCAGCGGCTGCGCTTGGGCTGCACTGCAGTGTGGGCAATATAACGAGAATTTATTTGTTGAATAATTTCTTTTGTAGACATACGATCTTAATGAAACTTTTAGAGCGTAATCATATGGCTTAAATGTGTGTACATTTCAAAGCACAAGTCTCTAGTACTTGAAATGCGTTTTTTACAAATTGGGGGCGAAGGGGGCGTGGTATCCAAAATCTGTAAATTACAAAATCTTTGTATCCATTAACTTTATATACAACGCAAATTTGAAGTCTCCAGGTCTAAAAGTGTTCAAAATAAGCTGAAAAAACATTGTCGATTTTTCGATTATTCTCGATAAAAAAGTTATCGGATGAGTTATCGAAAAAATAAAGCAAACTTGTACTGCCTATGGTATACACGAGTATGCTTGCCAAATTTCAGCTCTCTAGCTCTTATATCTTCTGAGATCCTTTTGCTCATACGGACGGACGGACGGACGGACGGACGGACGGACGGACGGACGGACGGACGGACAGACGGACAGGGCTATATCGACTCAGCTCGTCGTCCTGATCAAGAATATATATACTTTATGGGGTCTGCGATGATTCCTTCTGCCTGTTACATACTTTTCACAAAACCATTATACCCTGATTTCCCATTTTCAATGGGTTCAGGGTATAAAAATACAGTTACTAATGCAGCTACTGCCAGAGTCAGTTGCAGCTGAACTTTAAGCGGTCGACGGTCTGGCCGCAGGTCAGTTGACTTGACATTTGGCAGACATTAAACAGAAACTGTTGGCATTAACCGCAGGCCAGGTGTACCACGGTCACCCAGAAGCCCACACACACACATACACATACACACGCATGGAGCAGCCGTCAGTAGCAGCAGATTNCTACTATTACTACTACTACTTTTACTACTAACTTTACTGCTGCTACTATTACTACTACTACTTTTACTACTAACTTTACTGCTGCTACTATTACTACTACTACTTTTACTGCTACTAATATTACAGCTGCTACTATTACTGCAAGTATTCCTACTACTATTACTACTATTATAGCTACTACACGTTTTACTATCACTATTATTACTATTGATGTTATTATTTCAATCAGCCAGCTTCGATATTCAATTGAATCAGCTGCCATCTGCTAAGCAAATAAACCATTATAACAACAGAATACAAATATGACCCACTGTAGCTGCTGGCCGTGGCAGAGAGCAGCGAGACTGATCACGCAATATACAATCCACACATGCAATCCACAGTGCAGTTTGCCATTGAACTTTGCAGGCATAGCTTCAGGTAACTTCAATTTGCTCGCAGATCTGAGCCCAAGCCTAACGACAACGCAATAACAGCCACCATTTTTTTAATTTTTATGTATGTGCTGAGTTTTGATTGTTATCCACACACATACACACACATCTAAAGAATTGGAGTCAGACGCTGAAGCATAGCGATATTTTTTATGAGACTGTTTCATTTTTCGCTTAATCGCACTAGAAAATCTCTAGAAATGATAGAAACAGCCGAAGAGAGAGAGAGAGAGAGAG